ATGCTTGTCATCAGGGGAACGTAAGAGGGTTCTAGTGGCTGGTGAGGTTTGGGGGCTTGGGAGGTTCAGACAGCTAGAATGGGGGGTAGGGAGGCCCTGACTACTGGATGCAGGTTGGACTGCACAGCTCATCAGGCAGAAGTATGGAGGGATGGGGATAGGGGGCTGGATGCGTGGGGAGGGTTTCCCTTCCCTGCACCCTCCAAAAATGTGTACGGGAGATTCAATGCATCTACTCAGCACAGATCCAGGCCAGCCTTGCCCCTCTCAGCCACCAGTCTAACTGTGTGTGTCCCCCAACGCCCCCCACCCCTAGCCATTAACGGAGTCGCACTCTCTCTCTCTTTCACACAGAGAGCATTCATCCCAGGAGCACGTTTCTACACCTGCTCCTTATGGCCTGTTATTGATTCTGCTGTATTTCACCATCGGCTTTACAGTCAGTTCCGCTGGAGTGGGGATGAAAAGGCAAAGAGCCAAGGCTTGCTGCAGTGCAAGGATGGGGAGGTGTACAGAGCCCTCCCTGGCAAGCAAAGGGCTGAGCACTAACTAGGCAAGTGGGCTTGTTGGGGGTTTAGCCTGGAGGAAGGGCGACATAATGGGGCTGTAGTCACAAACTAGGGGGTGGTTAGAAAAATCTCTCCTGTACCCGGGTCCTGTTCTGGATATGCCCATGCCGGAGGCCTTGAATAGTCCTGACTCAGCAGTCAGTGTAACTGGACTGGGGCTGACCTCGAAGTGTAGATAAGGACAAACTGGGTTTTACACAGATTGAGCCAACTGGGCCGTGGTGCAAATCCCGCCTTGCCCTTGTCAGTCCAGGCTGGCCAACGAGAGCTGAGCTGGGGCTGTTCTCACTGTGTGGGTTCCAAAGAGCTGGCCACGTACCCCATCGGTACTATCCTTTTAAGAAAAGAGCTGGCTGCTTGTGAATGGTGTCCATCAAGGAAACAGGCTTGACCCAGCCCAGCGTAAGGCAACCACCAGTTCCCAGGATGCCTGCCTCAGTCAGTTCCTCCAGCCAGGCTAGGAACTAAGCAGATGACCTCCTTTCTAGGCAAGAGGAAGGATTCCTCAACAGCTAACTCCAGCTTGCTGTAACCCCTCCTGCAACTCCATCTCCCCTGCCAGCCTCTTCTCAGGGAGGGGAATGGTTATATAGGCACTAGAATCGCTCCGGCTGAAGCGGATTTCCTGGTGCCCCCATTAACTCCTTCCTTACCAAGTAGCTGCATAAGCCCCATCAGTCAAGTACAAACAAGGCCTCAGTGCAAAATAAGCTCATTTGAAAAAAGGCCCCTGGGGTTCTCACCTCTTATTATTGGCCATGCCTGTAACATGGGAAGATGCTCCTAACAGATGCCACTGAACATACATCTGCTCCTCAGGGCAAACGTAGGTGCCGAAGGTGCTAAGTTCGGCAGAGCTGTCTTACCCCCTTTCACTGGAGCGAAGAAACCTCTTGGGCCTGGAGGAGAAGCAAGCCAATCAACCCATCAAGAGAGAGAAAATGGCTTCACTTCATGCCAGATAATACTTGTTTTCTGTGCAGCATCTTCCACACAAGCAGCATCCCAAGGCATTAGAGCTCAACAAAATTTAGAACTAGCATGTAGCTAGAGAGGACCAGGAGTGGGGCGTGAGTGAAGGAGGAGGTATTTTTTCATGCTTTGTGTGTATATAATAAGATCTTCTGCAGTTTCCACGATACGCATCCGATGAAGTGAGCTGTAGCTCACGAAAGCTTATGCTCAAATAAATTGGTTAGTCTCTAAGGTGCCACAAGTCCTCCTTTTCTTTTTGCAAATACAGACTAACACGGCTGTTACTCTGAAACCTATCCCACCCTTGACGCTGTATCCACCGTGACCCAAGCAGTGCGCTGGGAACCGAAGGGTCAATGTGTTTCAAAGTCACCTTCTGAGTGAAACATGCTCATTCCCCCCTCCCAGTCCAAGACGCCTCCCCCAAAAGCCCTTACGTAAGAGTCTTGCATAATTAATAGCTCTTCCGGGTGGTGCATCGCTGGAGATGGATTGGACGTGAACTGTTCTCTGCACTCCATGTAACCGTCAGAACAAATCCCGCCCAATGTCAATTGAGGGAGGAAATGGAACTTCACTTCTGCACCAGGGACCATCACTCGCTGTTAAAAAGAGGCTTTTCCTCATTATAGTCTCCTCACCAATTAGCTCCCCAAAGCAATTCATTTCAAACTGGAGAGAACTCCCCAGTTAGCCCTGGCGTTCCCACCCACCCGCTTTGTGGGCCCTGAGGTCCCTGCTCTCTGCAGAACGGCCCTGGGATTCTCTGGAATGTTGCAACCTGACCCAGTCCTAGGGTGTGACAAGTCTCTGGCAGATCGTGGGAATGGGTCAAGAAAAAAATAAAGGACGCTGGCTGTTTAAGATGATTTGGGTCAGTTCTGCAGCTGGATACCAGACTGCCTTAGGGCTAGGATCTTCAGAGGTGCTGGCGGTTTTCAAGTCCCACTGAGGTCAATGGGAGATAAGGCTCTTGGGATCTGGTCGAAAGGCCATTCAAGTTAATGGGAATCTTAAGCCCTTAGTCTCCCTGCTACACAGAACCAAAAGACGATCCCTTCCCGGGCAAATTTGGAGCAGTACTAAGCACCTTGGACCCCGGCTAAACTCTATGAGAGTTGGAGATGCTTCATACTGCTCAAGGCTTTGGTTCTATCAGCACGTAACAGCCGCTCTCCCCACCCAAGCCGACTGCTGCTGCCAGGCTGTAGTGTGGGTGTCCGTTAACAGGCAGGGAAATGGCCAATACATGGTTACATAAACTCCTCGCTCATTCCAAGAGAGGGAGGAGGAGGAAAAACAACACGGTACATTTTCATTGCACCTTTCATCACAAAGGGTCCCAGAGCGCTTTGCTGGCTTTATATGCACTGGAATCATGTTGCTCACTGTTCAGCAGCCATCTCTTGGGGGAAAGTAACATGAGCAGAGTCTGTCCACACAAACCACTTTTATCCCCAAAGGAAACTGGGTTTCCAAATTCAGCACCTTAAGCAGCTGCCTGCAGCAGGCTCCTCTGGAAGGAAGGAGGAAGGATCATTAATGTCATATAATCGCCAGGCTGTATCACCTCCACTAAATCATAAAGTAGAGAAGCGAGGGGTGACATTGTTCACGGCCCCATCCATCTCGAGGCAGAGCTACACGCTGGCGTCAATGGGGAGTTGTCCTTAAAAACGAATGGCACATTATGGCCCTAAATATTTAAAACCTATGCAAAAGCAGCATGCACGGGGAGCGTGCCAATGAACACCCAGAGCTAACCGCTGCCTCGTCAGGGTAAAAAACTTGGGCAAGATCCTCAGTGGGTGTAAATCAGCACAGCTCCATTGGCTTAATGCAGCCATGAGACAAGGATCTGACCCTTTGTATTTCAAAAAAATCCATTGCTCCTCTCTCCCCGCTCACACTCTAGATTATGTATTTTTTTAAAAATTCTTTCAGTTACTAGCTTCTCACCACCCAGGCGGTTTGATTTTATATTTCCCTCAGGGTGGGCAGCAAAACTAGGTTTCCCTTTCTGTTTATAATCAATTTCCCTTTTCATTTACCCCCTTCTCCCCCCCAATCCCTTTGCTGTTGGATTTCCAAGGCAGAAGGGAAATATTTCAATTGTAAGATAAACAAAAATGTTCTGAGTGAAATTAAAAGAATGGAAACTGATTGGTTCTTTTCCTGTTAGGGTTCTTTTACTCCCCCCACCCCAGCCCAGCATCTCTCCCCTCATTTTTGTGAAACAAATCTTGCATTTTGGACTTACGGGAGGTGATTGTGACCCTCAGTACATCCTCCGGGAAAGCAGAGGTTTTCTTCACCTTCACTTTTGGGGAAACCAAGATTCTAGCCCATTGTGCTCTGTCCTTTGTGCTGGTTCTGATGGCCTTCACTGAAGTAGGTCTGTACTCCAGCTAAAGAACTCTTCATCCCCACTCAAGAATCTCTAGGATGCCAAGATGGCTACCGGGCCTCCGCCTGCTCTTGCCTCCGACAAATCAGGGTTGTTACTATTTGCACTGTGACAGCATCTACAGGCCCAAATCGGAGAGCAGGGCCCCATTACAGTAGGCTTTGTACCTGCAGGTAAGATGTGGGTTCCATCATCAACTACAGAACAATAGGTATCCATCCTTATCCCTTGTGAATTTTCCCCTAGAGATTCCCAACCCCTGCTGTGTGGCGCACTACCAGCACACCAGACTTTGGCTGACTGATGAGCCCCTTCCCTTGCCACTGTGAAGAGCTTCTCTGTCGGGCCTGAAAGCAACGTCACTCCCTGCTTTCTATTTGTCGACATGCTCTCCCTCCCCTTGGAGTTTTGGCTCATACCATCAAAAAACTAGATTTTGGCAACAGTAGCCTACACTCCAGGGCAGCTTAGAAACCACTCCTGAATCAGAGAAAGGGACCTTGGCTGATAGAACTGGAGAATGGTCTATTGATGGGGTACAACTGAGCTAAAAGACTGGGAACCTCACTAATGACAAGGCCACTCTCTGGGCTCTATGACCAATTCTCTTTGCATGGAAGGTTGTTGGAACCTTGCTCTTCTAAGGCATGTTTCATCCTCAGATCGCAAAGCATTTTACAATCAATTAATATTATTCCCATTTTATAGAAGGGGAAATTGAGGCACAGAAAAGTGAAGTGACTTATCATAGATATCATAGAATATCAGGGTTGGAAGGGACCTCAGGAGGTCATCTAGTCCAACCCCCTGCTCAAAGCAGGACCAATCCCCAATTTTTGCCCCAGTTCCTTAAATGGCCCCCTCAAGGATTGAACTCACAACCCTGGGTGTAGTAGGCCAATGCTCAAACCACTGAGCTATCCCTCCCCCAAACCAGTAGCCATGCCAGGAACAGAACCCAGGTCTCAGTACCAATCTAGTGCCCTATCCACTGGACAGTACCGCCTCTCCTATGATAAAAACAAAACAAAAAAGAGAAAGCTTAGATATGCGTTAGGAACAATATTCTCCATCTTCATTTAATGCACATTTAAGAGAGAAGAAAATACAGTTTCCAATATATGCACCATTTTACAGACAATACCATTTTGACTGACATAATTAGTACAGCAGCATAAGTACCTCAGGTAATTCACAGGAGGGGCTTCTGAGAGTTTAACACAAGGGGAGAGATTTTCCCTCCATTGTCTGAAACCAGGGCAATGTAGTTCAGGTGTAGACAACAAAGTGCATGGGGTGCTGGCAGGAGTCAGAGGGGACCAAGGCAGGTCTCATGTGTGAAGGACTTCTGGGAAAAAATGTATTTAGAGGAGGGATTTGAAGGGGCAGAGAGAAAGGTTTGGGACCTGTTAAAATGGGGCCACTAAGCCACACCCCACATCTGCTTCTGTCCAATAAGGCATCAGTTTTCTGGTTCCAAAATCAGTTCTAGAGCAGCCAGGCGCCCCAGTCCGTTCTCCGTGGTGAGTTCTAGACCAGAGGAGGGCCCACTCTCTGGGTTCCATGGTCAACCCTTGACCAGTCAGGGCCTCTAGTCTTCCAGTTCCAGCATGAATTCTGGACTAGTGAGGGCTCCATGTCTCTGGATTCCATCAGCAGCTGCATGATTTACACGTGTCTTTTGCAGTTATTGGAGTTGCTCATTTAAGGGGAAACTACTATCTTCCTGGTATGTAGGATGCCTAACATCCATGCGGACGGACCAGCAGACAGTGTCTCTAAAGGCTGGAGATGCAGAGAGGCGCCTCTGGAATCACTGAGTCACCAATGCCTTCCAGGAGATTATTCCACTGATCAAAATCTTCCTCCAGCTCTAATTGGGGAAGAGAGATGACGAGAGGATTACTCCATGATTACTACACTGCTGGCAAGGCTCAGCAACATGCATTACAAGAGAGAGGCCCCTGGCCCCATTAGCTGTGCTAGACAATGGCAGGAGTTGATGAGCATTAGTATGTGTGTGTAGCTCTTCCCATAGATCACGAGGCTAACCTAGCCAAATGCACTTGGCTTTGCTTTGTCAGAGAAAGCTGAGGGACCTGTGCTAAGCCCATTTTACAGGGCATTGTCATGACACAGCAAACAGACTCTGCAGATGTGGGGGTGGTGTCTGATTTTTAATGAACCCCCACCCACTTCCCCACATCCGTCATCTGGCATTCTTGTGGCTTGCCCACACAGCAGGATTCTTCCAGAGGGGAGTCCCTCAGTTGGCTAAGTGTTTGGTGTGGCCTAGGCCGTGGGCTTTGCAGACACCCCTGTGAGGTAAGGCAGTATCATTATTGCCATCTGTACATGGGGAAACTGAGGCACGAATGGAGGGGAATTGATTTTCCCCCATTCACAAAGTGAGCAGCTGGCAAGCCAGCAGTGCTTTGCTTCCAGTCCCATACCAAGGCCACTAGACCAGGTGGCGTTGCTAAGGTTTTCATGGCCTCTTTGCAAAGCTCATGGTTTTGCCTTTAAATCTGGCACTAACCATAGAAGAAGGTCCCTGCCTAACACAGCACAAGACAGGTCACTACACCCCCACTACGCTCTTCAGAATCTTGGCCAGCTCTGTGTATAGGGCAGGAATGAAGCTCTCCACAGAACACCAAGCCCACACATTGGCTAGCATGGTCATCACCCAAGCTGGACAGAAATCCTTCTGCAAGCATCGCCTCCTCCAAACTATCAGCCCCTCCTGGCCAAGGAGGCGAGAGCCTCAGCTCAGATGTCTGGGCGGACAGACGGACCCATTGCACCATCCCAACGAAAAAGATTTTTTCTGCCTAGCGCCGTACCAAGATGTTTCTGCAGGAAAGCAAGCGCCGCCCTGTTGGTGATGTCCAAGCCTGTGTATGGGTCCAGGGTTCCTCTGGTCTGGAACACTCTGTTCAGGAGATTCCCAGCCAGAAAAGTGAAGTCAGTCTGACTCTGATGCACAGATCCCCTGGAGAAGGGAGAAGGAAACGAGTCCTTTGGAGACAGGGATGAAAAGCTCTCATCGACGACTTGCTCTTGCTAGCTTTACAGCCCTGGGTTGGGTCTACATTGGGTTTGGGAATCTCCCACTGTAGACACAGATGGTGCATCAGGAATCATCTGACCCTGCTCACGATACAGCTAGACAGCATGGTGGTAAAAATGCCAGTGGCCATGTGAGCTCTGTCTTCACTATGGTCACTAATCACCAGTGCAGTCACTGCTGGGAGATCTCTCAAAACCACCTAGGGTGAAATCCGGGTCCCATGGGTGCTTTGCCATTGACTTGAATGGGAACAGGATTTCAGCCCCAGCGTAGACAAGGCCTAAGTAACACAATCCACTGCCCACCCTGACTCATGCATCACTCAGTGGTATTTTCCACAGGCCATATAAATGCACACAGCTCTCTGTAAGCACATAAGACAAGATCCAAGCCTGAACAGCTGCCCATCTAACTGAGACAAACAGCCTGCAAATTAAAGGAAAGCCAAAGGAGGAAGAGGTCCTGTCGGAGGGCAGATCAGTGTGGGGAAGGTGCTGGTGTTGGAGGTTGAGGAGGAATCTGTAGGAAGGTTTCTTGGTGAAAGAGAAAAGGGAGGCAAAGGGGGTAGCAAAAGGCAGAGAGCTGAACATGGGAGAAAGGGGAGTCAGAGTGAGGACTGGGCATGGGGGACAGGGGCGAAGGAAACACGAGCTGAGCTGTCAGCAGGAGCATGGCTCTGAAGGTGAGGACAAAAAGTCCAAAGCAGATGCAGACAAAGGTTGCTGCACGAGTGGGACAGTAAAACTTGGCACAGAGTGAGCAGTGTTCTGGGATTGTTCACGCAGCGGTATAATAGTAACCGTTGGCTCGTATACAGCACTTTTCATCTGAAAATGTCAAATCACTTTACAAGGGATCATAAATAGCACTACCCCCATTTTAAAGATGGGGAAACTGAGACACAGAGCAGGGACGTGACCTGCCCAAGGTCACACAGCCGGTCAATAGCAGAGCCAGGATAAGCCACTCCTGGCTCCCAGGCCATTGCTCTGCCGCTGCCCCACACTGCCCAGACACAGAGTGCGGACTTACAGGATGGTTATGATCTTGGTCTGCCTGTTTCTGGAGCGGAGTCTCTTCATTTTGGCGACACTTTCTGGAGTCTGGAATTTCTCTGTGTTGATAAAAAGCACCGGCTTGGTCACCTTGGGGTAGAGATCATTTTTCAAAGGGAACATCCAGGCATCAAGAGCAACGGCGCATCTGCAGCAGGATGGAAGACAACAGGGAATTCTTCTGGTATCTAAAGTCTTCTATTCACATCTGGCCCGTTTCTATAAATGCATCCCCCACTCCCAAGCTGGTGGAGAGTTCTTGCTTCAAGTTTTACTATGAGTTTAAAAGCAGCATCTGTCCGATACTCACTTAAAATGGGCTTCTTTAGCAAGGGCTAGAATTGCTGTCGCTCCTCCGAAAGAGTGGCCCATTACAGCGACTTTAGTCAAATCCACACTCTCCTGCAAAAAGCAGAAAAACTGTAAAGAAGCGAGTCCCCAAACTGCACTGCACAAAGCTCCTGCTGGGGAAGTAGTGACCTCAGGAAAAGCCAGCTTGCTACAGAGACTCTAAGCTGCATTTGCCAGGGGAGTAGATGTTGGAGGGAGTAAGGTCATCTTAGGGGTGACTCATGAAGTTCCACATCTCTGTGAGGCAGGGATGTATTATCCCCATTTTACAGATGAGGAAACCGAGGCACGGAGCAGGTAAGTGATTTCCCTAAGGTTACAGAGTAAGTCTATGGCACTGCTAGAAACAGAACACAGGAGTTCTCAGCTCCCAGTCCCGTGCTCGTTCCAGACCACGGTGCGTCTCGGATTTGGAACCCTCATTTACCAGCGAGTTCCTATTACATTCTGAACCAACACCTTCCCTATTTGAGCTACAGGCTGATAAGCTCAGCCATCCTTGCTACAAGCCACTGATCTTAGCCACATTCTTTGTCCTAAGGAGCCTGGGGACACAGCATTACTAGCTCCACTGTGTTCTGAAAACACATGGGTATCTCCTGCAGCGTTTGGTGACACTTGAGTCACTTGTCATGCATGGCACTGAGGATCAGTGCAGTGGCCATATTCAGACAGCACAACAGAGACGATGGGTGGAAAATAAAAACATGAAGTGCTCGTCTACGCTTGAAATGCTGCATTTGCAGTTGTAGATAATACCTATGCTGACAGGAGGGGTTCTCCCATCAGCGTAGGTAAGCCACTTTCCCAGGGGGCAGTAGCTAGGCTGGTGGGAGGGAGAATTTGTCTATTGACCTAGCAGGTTCAATATGTTGCTCAGGGGTGTGGATTTTTCCCGTGTTGACCTAACCTTTTCATGTAGACCATGCCTTAGGGTATGTCTACTCTTAAAATGCCATAGCAGCATCGCTGTAGACACTCTACCTCCCCGAGAGAAGGTAGCTAGGTTGATGGAAGAACTCCTCTCTCAACCTAGCACTGTCTACACCGGGGGTTAGGGTGGCATAGCTACGTCTCTCCGGGGTGTGGATTTTTCACACCCTGGAGAGACGTAGCTACGCCGATGTACATTTTCAGCGTCGACCAGCCCATAGAATGAATGTGCTGGTACACAATTCTGCAACAAGGGGCACCACAGTGCAAGTCCCCAAGCAGCAGATGCAGTTAGTATTTATAAGAGGCTCAGTGCTAAGCCCTGGAATGGGAGGCTGAAGGGAAGAGCAGTACTTAGTCACTAAAGAACACCTTCTCTTGCCAGTCCAGGAGCAGCACTGTTGGGCCCTGGAGGGATCTGAGTCTCCTAAAATATATATAGCCGGCTCCCCTAAAATATACATAAACAAAATAATAAAGAGGGGAAAGAAAGAAGAGGATAGTGAGAAGAAAGGAAGGAGAAAAAATGGGGAGAATATGGAAGGGGTGCAGTTAAAGGGGACAGAAAGAGAAAAGGGAAGGAGGAGGAGAAAAATAAGACAGCAGAGAAGGTGACAGAGGAGATAAAAAGGAAACGAGGGGGTGCAGTGGTGGGACAGGACAAAAGGGAAAATGAATCAGGGGCTTAAAGGATTCTGGTTCTGCAGTTTCGGCCCCCACGCCTCCAATTCCAGGAGGGCAATCTGCAAATTTCACAGAACCAGGCCCGTTCCTGCCAGTAACACCACCTGCAGGGGCAACGAAAGGAAGGTGTTGGGTGGAGGAGAGGCTGCTGCTATTGCTGGTAGGAAATCAGATTAAAACAACTGGCCAGCTTGGAAGGCAACCCTGCACGGGTTCCAGTGAATCCCTTCACAAACTGCCCTGCACCAAAATGTCTCTCGGCTGCAACTGAAGAGTTGGCTGGAAATACCTTCAGTGCAGACAGATCAAACCCTTTGTGCAAGACATTGGTGACAGCTTTGCCGCTGTTGATGTCCTTCACCAGCCTGAGCCCTCGCACACACTCGTTTGCTCTTTGATGAACCTGTAACGAAAGCGTCCCTGGTTAATTCAACCTCTTCTTTCCTCCACACTGATCAAGCATCAACACAGGGATGATGATAATATAGAATAATAATGTGCTCTGCCAAGACGCCCTTTGTCTAAGCACATCACAGTGACTTGCAAAGATTAGTAAGTCTCATTACACCAGGTGAGGTCAGTACGTGTCATACCCCTTGCATGCACACATGGAAAGATTAAAGGGAAGGATTCTCCTCTGATTTATACCACTTTTACCTCTGTGTAACTCCACTGAGCTCAATAGGGTTACTCCTGATTTGTAGTGCTTTAACAGAGCATAAAATCAGGCCCTCAGAGACTTGCCCAAGGCCATTGGGTGAGTTAGCAGCAGGAATAGAATTCAGGAGTCCCAACTCCGGTCTCAGGCTTTAAACCACACTGCCTTTCTTGGATCACCGCGAATGTGGAGACAAATGTGGAGGAAAATATAGACACCGCAAGAGGTTCCCAAGGGAAATCACTATAAATGTATTGGAAAAGCTTCTTAAAATCCAGTTAATTTAATACCACAAACTGCTGAAGATAAGCAAAACATTTCCACTATACCAATAAGTAAGGAGGGTACTCAGAGGACAGAATGTGTTTTGCTCACTGGATCCACCATGGCCGAACCTACCAGCCAGAGGCCAATATGAAAGATAGAGAGAGACTTTCCCCAAACAGGTCCAAACGCCTAATGAGAAACCCCGCTCCCCCCACCCCCGGCCCCCCCAGCTGCTGGGAAGAAGATGATCGCTGGGATTCCTACTGAGGTGCTGTCCCTGGACCCTGCTCAAGGACTCCATTTTTTGTAATAGTTGCAAAAGATATTCCTAAATAATCTGATGAGGTTTTAACACACTGGGTCACAGCGAGGATCTAACGGATCACATTGCCATAGATCCCAGTGTGCCACCAAAAATACATGCACTCTGGAAAGTCTCTTCCCAATTGGCTGGTATTATATTAGCCTCTGTTAGTAGGTATTTTGAAGCTCTCTTGAGACCCAGCCTCCTTCAGGCTGTTGGAAGAGAGAAATAGGTTGGAGAAGCTGGATCTGCTCTTCCTTCCCTTCCTCAGCATCCTGGCTACCTCAAACAGTGTGAGTGGGCGTATCTCCATAACACTACACCACCCTCCATATCTGGGTCTTCCTCCATAATGAATAAATTCAGTGCCTGTCTCTCCCGCTGCAGCTGAGTAAAACTGACCTGTTTTTTGAGCATTTCAGGGCTGCCCAAAGGGTTGTAACAGCAACAAAACAGACCAGAGTCTTTGTCAATTTCACTCTGCCGCTGTTTGAGCTCCAGCAGCACTGGAGTGGTCTGTCTGCAGACTCAGGAAGAAAGTCCTGCATTGGGGGTCACGTATGGAAGGTGTTCTCCACTTGCAGAAAGGCAAAGAATTTATTTAACGTGCATGTTTAAAGGGAGACCATCAACTTTAAAACAAAATAAAACAAAAATCTGTCTAAACTTAGTTTAAAAACTTGTTGTTACAAGTAAAACCAAAGATTTCTATTTCTGAGATGGGGGGCGGGGGGGAAGAAGAGACCTACTGCAAGTTGCTTTTCCCCCAGTTTGCTTATTCTGGACATTGGACATCACAGTTCATATTTTCCTATGTATAGTCAGCCTGCTGCCCTTGTTTGTATGGATTTTTCTACAATGACAAAGGACAGAAAAATATGGTTTTAAAACCACAAACACTGGCAGGGGTCTCAGGGGCAGCACCGGAAACCACAGTTAATCCAGTTTTTTTAAAACAGGCTACATTTCAAGTTGCCATTGTCCTTTTAAACTCAGCAGAAATTGAGAGTTTAGGCCCCTCACTTACTAGGGGACTTTTCTACTTGGCTGGGGTGAGCAGGCAATTGGATTTTTTATGTCCTGTCCAAAACAGCAATGGGACGAACCTCATAAAAAGTTAGAAATCAGAGTGCTGATAAGCACCTGGATATTTGGAGACTCATCTGAAGCTTAGCTCAGCCTCTTTAGGCTGCAGAACTGAGCTGGTGCTCGAGAGTATTCAGGCAATTTTCTGTTTCCAGTGAGGCAGGAAATACAGCAAAACTAGGCGGGCTGCTTTCTGCCTTGCCCTGAACTCAGACACAAAGAGGCCTATAAAAGTGTGAAAGGCAAACTAGTTAACCAAATGATTCAGCATCTACAAAACAGGTTCAACTTTAGGTTCAGTTCCAGAAATGGAGACAGGTATGGGCAAAGCAAGAAGAGTAAAGTTATCCAAAACCCTGGGCAGACCCCCATACAGCCCTTGCCCCATACTGCCCTCTGCTGCGGCAGGCTCCTCCCACCCTGGAGCAATGGTGTGGTTTGCTCTAGTGGTGGGTAAAAGGCCAGACAACTTCCTCTCTGGTTCTCTTCCAAAGTGATGTGAAAACAGAAAATGTTCATAAAACACAAGTGCTCCTCCCTCAGCTGGAGACCGTCTGCAGACTTCACTACCTCCATTGCACTGACTTAGCATTTTCAAGCTTTTCTTTGCAACCGTGATGGCATTTCTTTTTTTAAATGAAAAGAGAGATTCTGGGATCATCATGTGACACTGGCAACTGAGGCCCTAGGCACATGCCCATCATGCGTACGCCTTAGACTGGCCCGGAATTCAGGTGTGATGGATTTTGCCCCTCCCCAAATTGGTTCGGCCACCTCCATCCTAAAAACAGCCCTTCCCTGCCTTCCAGTCATTACCTGTGGGTTTCGAAAATGAAATTCCTTCTGCCCTTCTTGGATCCTTCGAAACGGGATCCATTCCTCCTGCAGCGCAGCCTCCAGGGAATCGGACCCCCCAGCCTCTGCCTTGCAAAAGTAAGTTGTACAGGCAGAATGGTCTCTGCGGGAATAACAGGACAGTGAAGTTAAATCACTGAGCAGCAGCCATGCATCGGAAACATGAGGCATGCAAGGGAAAGGGGAATATTTAGCATTCGATTCAGCTTCTGAATGCTCCCATTCAAAGAAGATCAGAGACTGCTCCTGAGTCCTAGTGTTGGATCATATTAAAGAAGTTCCGTATTAAAATCACAAATGAGTTTGATTCCCCATAGTTTAAATTCCAGGGTATTACTAATTAAGAGGTCTCTTGGTTTTTGGTACTGTTTCTCTTCCTCTCTGTGTGAAACTTGCACCCTCTCTGTGTGAAACTTGCAAGCTAATTGTGTTAGTACATTCTAAGACAGAGTCTGTTCTCAAAGTAATTCTTTGTAACAACAACTACTCACACAGAGAGAGACTCAAAGCAATACTCTGTAACAACAGAAACAGCACCCAGAGACTCCCCGCCCTTTTGTTGTATTCATCTCGCTTTATTAACAATTGTGATTAAAATAGAGATAGAGGATGTATGTGGATGGATGCTTGGTGTGGATAATAACTGAATGATCAGGGAGGTGCCAGCCTAAGAATCCAGTGTCCATCAGCTGAAGAAGGCATCAAGTGGAAAGAACCAGAGGACCTCCGGAGGGCAGACTGGAATCCACCCAACAGCCTCAAGGATGGGAGAACCAGAGAACAAGATAACATCTGGCAGCAAGGAGCTGTCAGGAATGTGCTATCTGCTGATTGATTCAGTAACAGCATGATGAAGCAATCCCCATAGACTGGCATAGGAAGAAATTCCTATAAAAATGGACTCTAGAAAGTGAGAACTTTGGGGACTGATTCTGCAAAGCATCAGATGAGCATCTGACAAGGCCCTGCTCCCTCCTCATGTCCAGGCCACCTGGCCAGTGGCTTGGCATGAGCAACTCTAAGGCTGGTAACTATGATAACAACCTTGCAGAATCTGTGTGTGTGTGTGTTTGTATGAATGTGTGAATAAATATGAAATTGAATGGAATGTTATAGCTATAACTAACTGCTTACTATGATTCTTTCCGTATTCACAATAAATGTGGCATTTTGCCTTTTCCCCTTTAATAAGATCCTGCTGGTTTTTATTTTATTGGTATAACACTAGGAGGAGAATTCATATCACAAGTCTGCTGAAATAATGATCAACCAGAAAACAAAATACACTAGGGGAGAGGGTGGGTGACCACCAGGAAACAGACGGCATCATGCTGTTCCAAAGGGGGTCGCCACTCACCTGTGCTCCAGCACCATCACCAGAAAGCCACGGGAGGCCATTTCTGCACAGACAGCCGAGTAAACGGTTCTGAAAACATGAGGATGCAAAGGGAAAGCAGAATGAGGGCTCGATCCTCTGGCTCTCAGAGATGCTGAGCACCCTCCACCCCCACTAGACTCAGCAGAAGTCCAAGGCACTCAGCACCTCCAGGACTTGCTCCGCTCCTACACAAGTTTTGCTGCAAGTCTCCCTGTTGAAGAGCGAGAGAGTCATAATCTGAGCCCAGCCACGGGAGTGAGGGACTCCTGGGTTCTAATCCCGGCTCTGATATTGACTTCATCTCTAGGATTTGGCAAAGCCACAATGGCCCGTTTTCAAAAGGTGCTGAGCACACACCGCTTCCATTGATCTCAGCAGGGGCTGCAGGTGCTCAGCACTTCTGATAATGGGGGCACAGAGAGGCTCGTGACTTGGTTTCCGCATCTGTAAAACGGGCAGAATACCACCCGTTTGTGAGGATGGGGTAACATTTGTAAAGTGCTCTGAAGATGAAAAATGCCAAGTGTTATTATTACTAATAAAGCCAGATACAGAAACACTGTTTGTGCAGTGGCTGAATGTACGGAAAAGCTGCCTACCCTGGAGATCTATTAGACTGTGAAATAGTCTCTTAAGGGAAGTGGTGGAAGCCCCATTGCTTGAATCATTTAAAACTAGACTGGACAAAGCACTAGGAAATACACAGTAGGGATCCAGTTTCCACTGCCCAGCAAGAGGTGTGAGATGATCTAATAGGATTTTGCTGTCCCTAGCATCCATGTTTATATATGCAGTAACTAGGGATGACTTTTTACATCTAGCATAAGGTTCTAAGCTATTGGCACGGTATTAAACATAGATTTACAGCAGACGTCAGTGGCTCTGACAGCCGGGGATCACAGGGTCTCATCCTACAAGAGCGGAGTTTTTGCTGACAATGCCATTGTATATCCTGGTCCTCGGCTTTTATAAGGGATTTGCTGTTGGGGAGGGAGGAGGGCTGTAATGGGACTGGGAGCCTTTCACCTCTAGGTCATCAATTTAAATCCAGAGAAATGGGCCAAAGGGGATTATCATCTGCTGGCTGTCTAGTGTGAAACAAACTGGTGTGGGCCTCCAGCCAGCTCCTTGTGGGAGGTGTGTCCACGCCGCAAAAGCCATCATCACAACTGACTCCCACTCTTGGCTGTCCCAGGACAGGTGCTGAAGATGGAATTGGCCATAAAAACTAAGCGCTGCTCTTTGCCCTAGAAATGGTCCCTCTAAAACAGAGGTAAGATACTTCGGGCCAGATTCTCCGCTGATGTAAATGGGCAGAACTCCACTGCAAATGCTGATTTACACCAGTGAAGGATCTGGCCCATTGGCCGAGCAACATGGAGGCAGCTTGCCCTGCCCCTGCTCTGTGCACAGAACTCCTGTCTCCAGAGCTGCAAGCCTGGCATCTTTCACCAGCTTTCCAGTCACTTCCTAAAACAATGACAAGAGACTTGCTTGGTGGGGAATCTTGGGGAGCAGGAAACTTTTTAGCCAATCCCTTGGCAGAAATGACTGACAAGTCCTAACCTCAGCCTGTTGGCTGCGTGCATTTAAACCAGCCCCTTGCTGACAGTGCAGACCAGCTGAAAGTTCTGTTAGCGTTATAAGAGAGGCAGCCTCATAGACAGAATACGCCTGAGATCCCTCTCCTCTTTCACCCAGGACCAGGGGTGTGGGAAGTGAGGCCGCGACTCTTACCGAAAGGCTCCCAGGCCATGGGAGAATATGATCAGCGGGTACCTGCTGCCACATGACTTAAAAGGCCCGTTCCAGCTCACTGGAACTCTGTAGGACCCTGAAGGAAGAAGTGACAGATGTGAGTGGAGTGAGCCAAGTTGTCAGAGGGTTACAGCTCTGACTCCTGCAATTGCGGGGCATCCCCCACGCTCTCGTTTGTTCTTGGGTTCTTCAGAATCCTGACCCCCTTCCAGCCTCATGTAACCTTCTGTACCAAGGGAACAACAGGAGATCGAGTGGGAGAGGACTGAGCATCTTCCCAAGCCCTCGCAATTTTCTGTAGCCCAGAGAACATTTCTAAGGCACCCTCCATCCCAAAGCGCTTTGTCACCCTGCTGAAATGCAGCTACCTCTGAGGAACAGGACAGCAGCCAAGCAGTACATAGCCTGCAAATGGCGGGGGAGGGCAATTTTGGATGCCACAGCAAACGTCCACACTAATGGAAAGTGCCAGGGGCTCCACTGTCCCCATGGCTCTTGCCTTTGGACGTCTCGTTGGAAACTCCTGCATGTGCAGCAAGCTAAACAGTCTGCATTTTACCTGCTGCAGAGACCCCTGGTGGGATTTGATCCCGGGTGTTCCAGGGAGTCTAGTTAGTTCAAACCTGAGGCTGTGGTCTCTAAACCATCCACTATAGTGTTATATTATCCAGTCCTCTCCCTTTCTTGTGGCTAATCTGTAATCATGCTGCCTTATTATCTTAGAACATAGACCAACCGCTTCCTCTGTCTCTGGAGCTAAGGGGGCAGCATGGGGCCGTTTTCCTATGACCGCACTAACAGCATGCTGTTATAACTGCCTCCATGCGTGCTCCCAGGAGGCAGAGAGAGTCTGGGGCAGCCCCCCAGGGGCTGAGATCTATCTGAAGCCATCAGTCCTCTCACCAAAAGTCACACTGAGCAGAGGGGTGCACCACTTCCTGTTCCAGTTGATGTAGTCGGCCAGCCCTTGGCAGTACTCACGGCGCGGGATCCAGAGAGGCTGCTCTGCCCCCTCCTGGGGAAGGCAGGGGTAAAACAACCGGAAGAAAAGCCCCTAAAGAAAAGAAGGGAGGATTGCGGCACAAATATCACACGTGTGAAAGACCCCATCCCACCTAGATCTGAACAGAGAATGTCACAGATTATAAAACCAGAAGGGGCCATTGTGATCATCTGTTCTGACCTCCCGCATCCATCCTTCACTCCCGCATGCAGCCCACACCCTCAATACAGACGTCAAACCAGGTGATCCTCATCTAGCATGTGCCTCTATCCCTGCTCTTTGGCTATGCTGTCAGTAAGTTAGGGGGTTTGATTCACACAGCTCCCAGAAGGCCGGATCCACTCCTCTCCTCACTCTGCTCACGCTACAGGCAGAGGGATAAGCCCCAATAGGGCTGGAGCTATTTGTGCAGAGCCCCCACTGAGCAGAAGGCGCAGGGGAGAAGGAACAGACGGAATGGAAAGGGAACATACAGGAGGAGTGTGGACAGAAAATGGAGAGAGTGGATCGGCGTGGGTGGGTGGGAAGGAAGGAAAAGGAACAAATAATGGGAGGAGAAAATAGGTATTCTTCCTCTCAGGAGTTAGTGCCCCATCCTGCAGAACCGGGACCTAGAACACTAGGCTGCCCAATTGACCGTGCTGGTTCTAGAACCCAGACCAGCCAACCCACCACTTTCCGTGTGCCCTGATCATCTTCTGCCTACGTTACTGCAGCCGGCGTTCACATCCTTCTCCGGGACTGCTTCCACGTTGCGCCTTATGCATGGAACAACCTCCTCTGTCAGGTCATCAGGGCACCCCACCATTCAAATCCATCCTATTCCATGTTGTTATAGGGAGGCAGTAGGACTACTATAGTCCAGGTTGAGAAGCTGACGGTAAGACAGCTGATTTCTCTCTGTGCTCACAAATCCACGTGTATTCAGCCGGGTTATATTGCCTGCCCTTCCTCAACTCCACTGGACTTGTATTATCGGCAGACGAGTTTTGTTATATATAAAAAATCCCTAACGTTCAGCTGAATCGGACTCAAATTGTGCCCTCGCTGGACTGTGTCGCCAGGCAATCTTCTCGATATGACCTTTGTTCTTCCTCCCTCTGTTGGTTAAACTAACTTGCATATTTGATCTGAAAATTACACAGTAAGCTGTAGGGGAAGAGACTATGTTGTAATGTGGCTGTACAGCAATGAGCACATGGGGGCCCTGACCCTTCACTGGTGCCTATGGGTGCTACCGTAATACAGATAAACTATAATTATTCACTTCTGTGATGCCAACAAGAAGTAAGTTCATTATGGCAATTTAAACACATCTCAAAGCAGCTCTGTCCCCAGGTTGCCCAGCATGTCCTGTTTACTCTGCATCTCAGGCCTTGTTACATTGGGAATGGGCCCTGATTCCAGCTGTGGTGCAAACCCCGAGAAGAAACTAGGAAAGCTCTGATTTGCAGCAGCTGAGCTCACCCTAAGCTTGCCCTCTGTTTAAGCTGGGCTTAGCTGGTGCAAATTCTGGCTTTCCTTCTCTGGGCTCAGATGCTGCTACATCAATGGCTGGCCAGTGACTGCTCGAACAGGGGCAAATTCTCAATGCATACAAGAACTCAGACTGAGGCTGGGACACTCTTTACTTCCACATCTTGTACAGCACCAAGCACAGAGTCATGCTTAGTAAATAACAACTGGAGACATGTGCAATGTCAAAACTAACTAGTTTTAAGATGCAGCTTGGTCAGTTTACGAAGGGGATAACATGAAGGGATTGGCTTCTATAGCAGGAGACGAGACTCAGTGACCCAGGAGCTCCCTTCCAGTTTTATATTCCTTTGTTCAAGTGTCCAGACACAGAATTCAGTTTAAGGAGAGACCAAGAATACAGTTGGGTCAGCAGGAAATCTGCAGCTGTAATCTCCTTGCTCACATGCCTCACCCCAGCCAGTCTTCAGAGTGACCCTGAGTCACACAGCAGGCAATCTCAAGTACCCCACAGGCTGCATTTACAGGGCTTGCTGCAAGATCAGTTCCAGCAAAACAAATAATCCAATAGCTGGAAACACCATTGCCTTCCTACCCGCTGATCCTCTGTTTCACGGTGGCACAGCTAATGAGAAGCAAAACCCCGAGAGCTAGCAGCGCTCATGACCGTACCTTCCGGTTGCGGCCCACCATCACATCCGTGCAGCCCACTTGGTGAGGTCCTTTCCCTGGGGGCAGCCCGAGGGACTGTACTCCCCCCATGCCTTCCTGAGCGGGAGACAGTGCCTAGAAAGGGAGAGAGGAGGCTGCAGTGTTAGAACTGTTTCGCCCAATGGCTGGTGAAACAGAGCCAGTTCATCTCACTTCCTTCATCTGTTTCCTGTTGAGCAAAACCTCCAACCAAAGCCTCAGCTACTGGACTTTGAGAGCTGCAGAACACTGGCTGGCGAGCTTAGCCATCAGGCAGAGAGAGCAGAAGAGTAAGCAAGATTTTATCAGAAGGCCTATGCCACAACCCAGTGGGACCAGGGCAGTGCAAGGAAGCTGCCTTTTGACTCCCAGAATGATTATGGGCAGCAGGGGCAAAATGAACGTATTGTTCCAGCAGGGCACTGGGAGACAGGACTCTGGGTTTCAGTCTCTGACTCACGGTGTGACGGCAGCTAAATCATTTTTCTCCATGATTCACCTCTGGAAAGTGCTTTGAGCTCCTCCAATGAAAGGAAATGCAAGTGCAAAGTACGGTATTATTATTTAATCCTACAGCTACAGAGATTAGAGATGGAAAAGACTCCTATCCATCACTGTAGTATCTAAAAGAGTCAGATTTTGAAAGGTTCCTAAAGATGTACATAGACACTAAGCAGGCTTCACAAAGATGACTAGTGCTCAAGTCCTCAAAAGTGTTTAGGAGCTTAACTCTTATTGATTTCCATGGGAGCTAGGCGCCTTTCAGGGTCTGGGCCATGGTGCCTAACTCCCACGGAGCGGTGCACGACTGTTCCCCATCGTGTATTTTCTAGCACTTTGTCCAGTCTCCAAGCAAAGGGGCTTTTACCACTTTCCTTAGGAGACCGCTGCACTGTCTTCAAGGCTGCTTGTAACAATGGCTAACATTACAGCAGGATTTGACCTCCAGCCAGGACCAGGCAAAGCCCCGCTCTGTGCTGATCCCTCTTCACTCAGCCAAGCACAGCTTGCGCATTCTGGTGGCTTGGCAGGGCAGCAGCTCTTGTGAAAGTGCTTTTTGTTGGAGTATTAGCTCAGGTGCATCTTGAAACCGAACTTACAGAACACTTTACACCAACCAATGTCCTGCCCTGGCTGCTGTTTATTGTGGCAGTCGCCTCTCGCATGCTTTTTAAGAGATTAACCTCACACCATCTGGACATCTGTAACATGCTAGGGTCGGGACAATGGGGTTCTGTGACTCAGACTGCGGGACTAGAACAGGAGGCAAAGGGTGACAACGCAGGCTTGCTTTTTTCTTTTAAATTGAGCGACATGAGTGAGATTTTCTGATTCTGGGAGCTTCACAAGAGCAATACCTGAGTGATAACACTTGGCTCTTTATATAAGACCTTTTATGCCAGGCTCTTAGGGTGCTGACGCCAACCTACAAGGCAGGGAAATATTATCCCAATATGACAGGTGGGGAAACTGAGGCACCAAGCAGGACGGTGACTTGCCCAAGACCACCCAGACAGCTGGAATCGGAACTTCAGCACGGCCACAGGCAGCCCCCCACAGCCCCCGGCCCTGCTTCCTCCCTCCGTCCCACTCTCCCCCCAGTCCCGTGTGCCCCGCCCCACTGGCTCTTGCTGGCTGCCCCACACCTGCCCCCCTTCACGCCCCCCCACCTGTGTCACCCTCCAGCCAGACCTCTGACGCCAGCCCGGCTCCCTCTCTCCCCCCGACAGCGGCCCCCCCGGACAACCGGCCCCCACAGACGCGGGGGGGGGGAGCGGGAGCTGCCCCCCCGGCTTGGTCCCTCCGCCGCCCCCGGGAGCTCAGCGGAAGCAGCAGGGGGCGCGCCCGGCCTGAGAGGGATGGTTCGGGGCGCGGGGCCACCCGGGCCGGAACGTCAGCGCCGGCACCCACCTGCGCTCCCGCCGCCCCATGGAAAGACGCGGCCGCCCCCCGCCCCCGATGCCTCCTGGGACATGTAGTGTCATTGCCACGCCCAGTGTGAAGGGTCCCGAAGCTCAGCACTACAACTCCCAGAGCTCCCCGCGGCTGGACTCCCCCCCGCACTACAACTCCCAGAGCTCCCCGCGGCTGGACTGGCCCCTCCCCCAGCACTACAACTCCCAGAGCTCCCCGCGGCTGGACTCCCCCCCCAGCACTACAACTCCCAGAGCTCCCCGCGGCTGGACTGGCCCCTCCCCCAGCACTACAACTCCCAGAGCTCCCCGCGGCTGGACTCCCCCCAGCACTACAACTCCCAGAGCTCCCCGCGGCTGGACTCCCCCCCCCACCACTACAACTCCCAGAGCTCCCCGCGGCTGGACTCCCCCCCCAGCACTACAACTCCCAGAGCTCCCCGCGGCTGGACTCCCCCCCCCCCAGCACTACAACTCCCAGAGCTCCCCGCGGCTGGACTGGCCCCTCCCCCAGCACTACAACTCCCAGAGCTCCCCGCGGCTGGACTCCCCCCCAGCACTACAACTCCCAGAGCTCCCCGCGGCTGGACTGCCCCCCCCAGCACTACAACTCCCAGAGCTCCCCGCGGCCTGGACTATCCCCCCTCCCCCCACCACTACAACTCCCAGAGCTCCCCGCGGCTGGACTCCCCCCCCCCAGCACTACAACTCCCAGAGCTCCCCGCGGCTGGACTGCCCCCCCCCCCAGCACTACAACTCCCAGAGCTCCCCGCGCCTGGACTGTCCCCCCCTCCCCCCAGCACTACAACTCCCAGAGCTCCCCGCGGCTGGACTCCCCCCCAGCACTACAACTCCCAGAGCTCCCCGCGGCTGGACTCCCCCCCCCCCCCCCACTACAACTCCCAGAGCTCTCTACTCCAGGGAGTTTCCTCCGTTTTCACTCCCTCTCATACAGGGGCAGGGACAGTGAGTGAATGGGTTAGAGCATAAGGCTGGGAAATAGGACTCCTGGAATCCCACTGCCCAGGAATATAGTTCTTAGCTCCAGGGAACTGGGCCTCACCCAACCCACAGGACTACAAGCCCCAGGGTTCTGTAAGGCACAGAGACCTCAGGACTGCGACTCCCAGAATTCATTGCTGCAGGCCATATCTTCTGCAGTCCTAAAACCGTCAGAGGGGGATGCATGGACCCCTGCCCCCATCAAGGGTACCACAGCCACAATTCCCAGCTATTTATGTATTCTCCACCTCTTCCTCTCCTCTTTTCACTACAACTCCCAGAGATCTTTGCATGCCAAAGTCTGGGCTAGCGAATGACAATGATACTAAGATGTCTATCTGCTTCTCACCTGTGGATCTCTGCTACCCGGGTTTCTAGGTGCCATGGCACTAGTTAAGAGGGCACCAGCCTAGTGCAGGCACCAAGGGCCATGTTCTCAAAGCGCTTCCTAGCCTGACCTGTAATATGTGCAAAGGCCTTTGGGACAGGCAAAGGGTGTGTGAATTGGTTAGCTGAGCTTGAGTCCCTATTTGCATGTACTGTTACCAAATGGTCTTGTACACTGAGATACTGAGGGTCCAGGTGTGCAGACATGTTTCCAAATATGGCCTGGTTAGGAGCGCCTTTAAAAAATGTGGCCCACAATGTGCTGTGTGTACTAGTAAAAACCTTTTGTCGAGGGATTTCTCCCTAAACTCTAGGGTACTTGCAAAAAGAAAAGGAGGACTTGTGGCACCTTAGAGACTAAAAGTTATTTGAGCATAAGCTTTCGTGAGCTACAGCTCACTTCATTGGATGCATTCAGGAAAATACAGCGGGGAGATTTATATACACAGAGAACATGAAACAATGGGTGTTACCATACACACTGTAATGAGAGTGATCACTTAAGGTGAGCTATTATCAGCAGGAGAGCGGAGCGGAGCGGAGCGGAGCGGGGGGGGGAACCTTTTGTAGTGATAATCATGGTGGGGGTTCCAGCAGTTGACAAGAACGTCTGAGGAACAGTGGGGGGGATGGGGAATAAACATGGGGAAATAGTTTTACTTTGTGCAATGACCCATCCACTCCCAGTCTTTATTCAAGCCTAAGTTAATTGTATCCAGTTTGCAAATTAATTCCAATTCAGCAGTCTCTCGTTGGAGTCTGTTTTTGATACTTGGGGCTCTTTTGGTACTTGGGGCTTTCCCCCAGGCTTGGACCCTGCTTTTCATGCACCAACTGCTCTTCCTCTCCCATCCTCCTTGAAATCTCTTTTCAAGTCCCTTTTCATCACTTACCATTGTGACTACCAGATCTCTCACTGTGTCTGCCTTAAGCAGACCATAAGCTCCTCAGTGCCTGGTCTTTGCCTGTGTGTAAAGTTCACAGGACTTCTATGGTGCTTCAGAAATGATCATAATCATAGTTCTAGCTCAGGGCTGAATAAAGGGATCAAAGCTGAGGTCAGAACTTTTAGCATCAGCCTTTTGCATGGTTCATTTTGGGGCACAATTGCAAGAACAGTTACATTGTTTGTATATATAAGGGAGAACTCCCCCACCCACACCCCAACCTTCTCCTTTCCCACTTCATGTTCCTAAATACAAAATTATCTCTGTGGTCCCAAAATTGGGAAGCCACTGCTCCCCCTTTCTGAGCCCCCTCTCAACTCTACCTGCTTTTGCTGCCTTCCTCCACAGCCTGGGGCTCTTTATCAAGTTACTATAGACTTGGCCAAACTGAGCTTGACCCTGTAGTTCTACTCGGCAGGTGGGTGACTCACAGATCGGGCTCTTTGTCTGAAAGGGTTCTCCCCATAACTACAGACGGCATGTGGGATTGGAATGCCTGTATGCCCAGAGTTATTGCATTGATGTCACTGAGAATGAGTATGCAGCTGGAATTTCCTGGCCCTTTGGCTGGTTCCGGAGACCCAGTGACTGACAGGGAAGGTTTATATATGTTTACTTTGCTTAGCATTTTTGTCTTTACTGAGAAACTGTTCATTTGAGGGAACAGCAGAAAGGGGCTCAAACCAC